CTTCACAGTCTTTTGCTAATGCTCATTTGCTCATCTCTCAAGGGCTTTCCTCTTCCTTTTTCCTTTTCTCCAGGGTTGTAGATCCCTTGATTTACGGAGATTACCCTGACATTATGAGGAAAAAAGTTGGCTCCAGGCTCCCTTCCTTCACTAAACAAGAATCTGAGCTTGTTAGGGGTTCATTCGACTTCCTAGGCATTATACATTACACTGCATTTTACATCAAAGACAACCCTAGCAGTCTGGAACCAAAGCAAAGGGACTTCAACACAGATATGGCTGTATTTTTAATCCGTATGTCTCTTACATCTACTTGATTAACTGAACATTATTGATATCAAGTTTCATGCTCACATAATAGTGCTGTAAACAAACATTATACCGGCTTGTATAATGTCCTTTAGTTCAGTTATTGAGTTATTTTATACCATTCTCAAGATGTTTGAGGAAAGCTGAAATTTTCCTCATGGATTGTTTTACTTGTGACAGCCGTTCTGGGCAATTCGTCAATGAATGAGGTGAGTTGAAAGATCTTGTTGAAGTGCTGGTTATTCTATTTGAATTTTGTTAACAATATTGCTAAGAAGTTTTATTACTACTCAGTTACCCTTAAATCCTTGGGCTCTTCAAGGAGTGCTGGAGTATTTCAAGCAAGTTTATGGCAATCCCCCTATCTACATTCATGAAAATGGTCTGTCTCTCTCTTGCACAGAAGCACACACTTTACACAATTTCAACATTTTTTCTTCAAATGTAGATCCATACCCATTCTCTCCTGCTCATCATGTTGAAGTGAAAACCATTGAATTTAGCATTTTTTGTTTTTTTTGACAGGCCAAAACACCAGGCGCAATTCAACCTTGCAAGACACATCAAGGGTGGAATATCTGCATGCATATATTGGGGCTGTGCTGGATGCTGTGAGGTATGCCAATTCAGAACTATCCTCTTAGAAAGAACAATCATTTGACATCAATACAGACACCCTTTTTCTAAGTCTGACGTTGTTATAAAAATTCTTCAAACTTTCAAAGGAATGGATCCAATACTAGAGGATACTTCCAGTGGTCTTTGTTAGATGTGTTTGAGTTGGATGGCTATGGAACCAGCTTCGGCTTCTACTACGTAGATTTGGATGATCCAGATTTGAAGAGATATGCAAAGCTCTCTGCTTATTGGTATTCCCATTTCCTCAAGGGAGGAAGTGTCAGTTCAGATGGCATCGTCAAGCTCAAGAACTCGACTGCCCTTCTCCACGACAGCACTTTTCAGTAGGATAATATCTAGAGAAATGAATAATGATGTTTATTCATCATCCCTGTCCAAAGATGTTGGAATATGATACCTGCATGCATCATTCAGTAGTAATTAGTTAGCAAAATAAACATGATTTCTGTTGGTGTATAAAGTTCTCATGTGAATAGAGTTGAATGAAATGTAAAGATCCCACATTCGAGGACAATAGTTACAAGAGTACAATATATATGTAGAGGTTCACGCTCTAGAGCGGGCCTCCCCAACAATTTGTAACTTGATTACCTGACTGGTTAACTTTACTAAATAAATAGCATCAGCTACAGCCTGAGAAGATCTCATTAGTCGAGCTGGAACAGAAGCAGGATCAATAACGCGAGCATGGCTACCAGATATGGAGAAAATGGAGAAATTGATTAAAGCTAGGATCATCAGACATTATTATTACTGGATCTAGAAGATGACATAGGAAGAGGATATGGCACGGTGTCCCAGTAGTTAATGATCTACATAAAAAAATTACATCTTTCGTTATGCAATTCTTTCATTGAGTCATTGATTCAAGCAGGTTTCCATTTTTATCAGGCCCAAGACTAATATTGAACATTTCCATGGCCGCTCACGCTGCTTCTCAAAACCCAAGAGTCTTCAACAGGATTCCTAATATAAGAAGACATTTTTGTTTCTGGATCACTACTGCTTCTGGGTGATGGAGATCAATTAAAAATATGCAAGTTTGAGGATCAAAACTAGAAATGAAAAGAGCAAGAGAATTTGAGAGCGTGACCATGGCACTCAGTTGCGTGTTATATATATCGCTTCACTGACCCACAACTTGTCGATGCGGGATATAACTCCTGCTTGCAAAGCACACAGCACGCTCATTTTCCTTTGAGCTAGGGGGTAAAGATCATAATAACTACTACTTTATTAACTCGTATTTAAAACAAACAAAATCTAAAAATTAACCGAATGCAAACTCATAATCTACTCTGTTGCCAGCTGGGAAGTGGGTGATATGTCCACTTGACCAAAACAATATTAAACAAAAAGAATGAAACATAATGAGAGAATAAACAATTATTATACAGTTATGGCATGATTAATACCAAGAATATTAGAAACACAGCACACAATAGGAAAATAAAGGTGCTCATATACATAGAGATATCATGGAATCTAGTAAGTAGTAACACCTGATCGCAATAATTGTGGTAATAGTGTTCACATAAAAGTTATCATAGGTGACAAACAACAAGCTATAATTACTAGTATGTGTTCTAAGACTATTTTGTGCCATAAGAAGGACGAATTGACAATCCAAGGCTGCCTCTTCAACTTATAAAATCTATAATCTGCATTTATCTGTGCTTTATAGTGAACTTTTATCTACCAACATAGAGATTAGGTAGGTGTTTACCTTTTTATAGCTCCATAACCATAATTGGCCAGACCAGTATCTGAGGCATGATATTTTTCTACAGCCTCGCAGAGAACACTCTTAGGATTGCCTTCATGCACTTCAAATGCAACATCACTCACCTGCATAAAACCTTTTTAATCAGAAAAGTAGAAATTCAATTCAAGTTTCCCTGTTGAAAGCATAGCAAGTATGCCCCAAATTAAGCATAATAATATCATCCCACATACCAAGTCTAAGCTTTTAGCTCAAGAAAAGCCCGGTACTCTTTAATTTATCTACAATTAGGAGCAGCAAAAACAACTCTTTCTTTTCAAGTCCACCTCTTAGAAAAGGCAACTTATCTCAAAGTAAATAGATAGCCTATCTCAAACTTATTCAGGGCTGCTTTTGAAACTCGAAAGTCTCAATGGGATTCCTGATATCAGGAGACATTTCTCCTTCCGGGTGATGAAAATCAATTAAAAATCTGTAATTTTAGGGGTTCAAAATTGTGAAAAGAAAAG